ATCAAGACCTGAGCCAAAGGCAAAAACAAAAAACAAAAAACAAAACCCCACAACTGGTTTATTGAGGTAGGATGAATTCACTTGAAAGTAAAATCTCTTCACCTATGGAGTACAGGTTTTCCTGTGGAATTATATTCTTTTACCACAAATTTGTGTTCCATGAACATTGTTTAATGGAAAAAAAAAAAGTTCCCAAGGGATAAAGAATGGTAGAGGGAGACAGAGTAGTCGGTATGGCCTTTGCAAGAATGGCTCTATCCTTGGTAAAATTTTCTGGCAGGGAAGTAAAATACTGCTGAATCCAGAGCTTTCTCCAGGATCAGTGGGCAACAGCCCAGTGGGAGAGCAAGGTTGGCGGGTGTGTGGAACTCTAGCTCTCTTAGCTATTAACTCTTAATCAGAGGCCATTTCAAATTGAGGTTAGAAGTAACCCTTTCTTCCTGGGCTATCCCTCTGTATCTTCCTGTATCTTTCTGAGGGCACATGTGAGACTCTACATAGTATTATAGCAACTTATGTGCATGTCTTATAGCTACAAGCTTACTGAAAGTGGGAACAATTTGTGAGTGCGTGGGTGAGTGCGTGTGTGTTTTCTCTATAACACCCAGCACTATTTCTTACGATTTGAGCATGCTTAATACATGTTTGCTGAATGAACACGTAAGGTGTGCGGACCACTTAAAGGTACAGAAATCACAGGATGACCAGTAGACAGAGGAGGTAAAGGAACAGTGCAAGTCAAGAGGGGGTACTAGAGATGATCTCTTGCCTTTCTTACTTGGCTAGAAGAGGTGTTAGAGTAGAGTCAGAGGGAATGGAAATCCCTTGTAGTACAGAGACCTTGATAATTCAATTTTTTTTTCAATAAGGACGAACCCCTGAATGAATGGTTGGACAGGCCACATTTTTCTGCCCCCTGGTCAGTGGTCTTTCTGAGATGCTACAGAGGAGAGTGACTTTGGTTTAGTAATTATTTGTCCCTATTGGAACAACAGCGGCATGTGGGTGTGCATCAGAGTGCTGGTGATGGTGAATTAGGAAGTAAGCTCTTGTACTGAAGTCTCTGTGTCCTGATTCACTAACATCTGGGGCAAAATTCTGTGCCTCATTTTTCCTAGAGTTTATGGTCTGGTCCTGGCACCTCAAGAATTCAGTCTGTGGGCTGTTCCTGAACTTCCAGGTCACACCATTGCCCTTGATGGCTCTCAAGACTATACTGGTAGCAAGAGAGGTCTAGGAGTTCTCTCAGCAAAAGAGCAGCAGGGTTGTTCACATGTTTTAAATTATTTAGTTGCATCAAATATTCAGATTTGTGAGAACAACAGCAGCTCTATTTAAAAACTCCAAGCATGTGATGGATGAACTCAATATTTCCAAGCAGTTCCCAGCTTCCAGCCCACACTCCAGGGATATGCTAAGAGTTACTCAGACTCATCTGGGTCACCCTCTAACTCTTGGGACTAGCTAAAGTGCCAATGCCATCCAATCCTGAGGATATTTTTCATACGTTTTTCATATAAGTGAATTTTAATGAGAGGCTTTATTGGGTCCCATGCTTCCCCTCCCAGAGAAAGGAATATTCAACTGAGGATATCAGAGTTGGGATGTTCACATGGAAGTCTTGATGGTGGGTGTGTGAGCTTAATCCCAGGGGATTGTGCCCGTGAAGAATGGATGTGTGTAAGCATGTGTGTCTGTGTATAGAGCTGTTGCTCTTTTCACAAAAATTCATTATTTTAGGTGACCCTCAATGTGACACCTATTGAAGCTGCTCTGAAGATGGAGATATGGGCCCTAATAACAACAACCATTTATTAAATGCTTTCTATATATCAGACAAACACATATGTACCATCTACATATTTACATTATATTATCTAACATCTTCCCTCAAAAGACAATAAGTCAGATAATATTATTCTTATTTTATAGATAAGAAAATAAGGCTCATAGATGTCATTCAAAGTTATATCAAGTTCTGTCTGATTCCCAGCCTGGGGTTTCTAACCACCATAGGGCAATGTCTCATCCTTAGCAAGTTCTTAAAACTAGTCTACATAAAACTCTGGCAGCCCCATCAAAACATTAAATGGTACTCCCTCCTCTATAAACGTAACCTCTGGGGACCAGCAGGGGCAGTGTGTGGAAAGGGGTATGTGGGGAGTTCCTGGGAAGCTGGCAATATTCTCTCTCTTTATTTTGGTAGTGGTTGCACAGAGGTGCTTGCTTTGTGATAATAATCAGGGTATGCACATATGATTTGGGGTTTTCTTGTGTTTGTTATACTTCAATAAAAACTTGATCTAAAACATCATTCTTCCTAGCAGTGAATGTTGGAGGGGAGTCCTACTTCTCATGGCCAATATGTTCAAATGAATCAACAAGAATTTCTTGGATTCTATTATATAGCAAACTTAAAAATAATACAGATACATTGACACTCTACCCTTTTACATAAAAGTTCTTAGATGGATCACATTAAAAAGTCATTCACAATAATAAAATAATATTAAAAGGAGGTGATTCAACATTACATGAAAAAGAAAATTTTCTATACACATGTTCCTCTGTTGGGCACCACAGAAGGTTTTAGTCCAGCTTCTGCTCTCAAGATGTTCACAACCACGCTGAAGAAACCCGGCATTCACTAGCAGTAAGGAGACACCTGTCTTCAATATATTGGAAGTTGTTGAAAGCAGGCTCTTTCTCAATTTGGTGATACATAAACTCAAAAGAAGTGAAGATTTTGTGGGCTACATCCTATATTTCATATGTGGGTCACTGAGGTGGGAAAGACCACCCTTATCAATAATTTGAAAACTTTGACCTGCAAATCTTAAAGTGCCAAAATGAATATCTACATCTTTATAAGATAGCTTAAACTTGGAGAAACCCAGATATCTAATTACCAGGATGCTTTTGTAACTGATTTGTAATTATATTCCTTTGCTTATATGCACTTTCTACTGGGTCTAGATTCACAACCTCAAAGAACACAGATATTATTCTAGTTTACTTCAAATTGCAACCATTTTAAAACTTCCTGGCTGGAGCAATTGTTATAAATTTCTCTTTTTCTTTATACCTCAGGGATTTAGGGACCTGGAGGGAGAAGTCACAAAGACTATTCAAATTTACAGACGCACTTCTTTTAGTAGTTGATTTTCCTTCATTTGTGTCAGAATTAGCCAGTGTGACACAAGCCCATGCATTTGAAATTTTATTGTGCATATTTATGTCCTAGGGATCATTTTATTTTTATTTTACTTTATTTTTATTTTTAAAAGATTTTATTTATTTATTTGATATATATAGAGAGAGATCACAAGTAGGCAGAGCAGCAGGCAGAGAGAGAGGGGGAAGCAGGCTCCCTGCTGAGCAGAGAGCCCAATGCGGGGCTCGATCCCAGGACCCTGAGATCATGACCTGAGCTAAAGGCAGAGGCTTAACCCACTGAACCACCCAGGTGCCCCTAGGGATCGTTTTAAAATACAAATTCAGATTCAGTAGGTCTGGGGTGGGGCCTTAGACTTCACATTTTAAAATAAAGATTTATTTACTTGTTTTAAAGACAGAGGGAGAGAGAGAGTGTGTGTGAGTAGGAGGAGCAGAGGAAGAAACTCTCAGGCAGACTCCGTGCTCAGTGCAGAGCCCAATGCAGGGCTCCACCTCATGACCTTGACATCATGACCTGAACTGAAACTGAAAGTTGGTTACTTAAGTGACTGTGACACCTAGGCGCCCTCACATTTTTACCAAGCTCTCAGGTAATGTCCGTGTTGCTGGCCTATGGACCACCCTTGTAGAGAGAAAACAGGTATTAGACTTGGAGTCAGAATTACAGGCTTTTAGTACCAGCTCTGCCATTTACTACCTTGTTTTCTTACACAAGTCACTTCCCCTCTCTGGACTTTCGGTTCCTCAAATATAAACTGTGTAATAGGGGGAGAGGGTGAATTGGGTTACTTAAGAGCTTGCATTCATGGAATTGTTATTATTTACAATTTTATTTAATTATTTAAGTAATCTCTATGCCCAACAAGGGGCTCGAACTCAGGACCCTGAGATCAAGAGTCACATGCTTTTCTGATGGAACCAACCAGGCATTCATGGAATTTTTAGAGTGATAGTTTGATTTAAATAATCTCCAAGTATAGGACCATGTACAGCTTTTCAGGGGACTAACAGATAAATTGGTATTAGCATAGCAGGATATATAAGGGCTCAATGAGGAGGGCAACGCAAGGGATGGGGAGCAATCCGTGATTTCTTATGGGAATATTAGGCCCTGATTCTTTTGAAGTGATGGGTTAAAAGAATTATCTAGACAGAGGTTGCTACTTTTCCCCAACAAGCACTTCAAGAGGAAACCTACATTATTGAGACTTGAGTTGCATAAGAAATTTGAATGAGGGAAGCAAGGGATGAGTTAGAGCTTTGAAATAAGCAAACACTTTTGGTAGGCTGTGAGCCAGTCGAGGCTGGAGGGCAGCTTTCTGGAACCAGAAGGCAGTCTAATTTTATAATAACAGTTTGTTTCTGCTGTAGATCATTTTGATGTCCAAGTTCACCCCAGAATTCAGGTCTCTGACCACATCGGCCAGACCTGACAGGGCTGAAGCTTGGGAGGCACGGTTGGGGTGAGAGGGCAAACAGCCTCCCAGAAGGGTCACGGACGGCCAGGGTGCTCAGGCGACACAGGAGTGCAGATGGATGAGAGGCAGGAGGAAGCGAGTGAGAACGGGATACAGGTGATTTAAAAGAACTGAACGGAGCTCCTGGTAATCGGAGCCTCTGGAGTGATAATCGGCCCCTCCCCCAGTGTTTACGCATATGTGTTTTGAGCCGTAAAGAGGATCAAACAGAAAGCGTTCCAGGCTCACAGATACCGGCTAGTTTCTCTTTAAGTCCCAAAGCCAAGTCGGGGGAGCGGAGAGAACTGTTGACGGCGCCCTCTCCCAGCGTTGGGATGGGGGCAGGGGACTGCAGGAGATTCTTACCTTATGCAGGACGTGCTCATTGAAGTCGCGGCTAGCTCCCCATTGGTAGGAGTCCAGTCTCTGCTGGTCCATGCCCGGCGTGGAGTCCACTGCTTCTCGCCTTCCCAGCGTTCTGCGTCAGCGCTCCCAGAAGCTCGGTCTAGGGTCAGCTGGGTGCGGCAGGCTCGGGTCTAGCCCCGCCGGCCGGGCCGCATCCGGGTTCAGCACTGGACAGCTCCCGCGGCGGTGGCTGCGCGGTACCTAGGACGTGGTCGCGGGTGCGGGTGGGCGGACAGGCGGCCCCTCCCCTCCGCAACCATGGCGTTTCAGCACGAGCAACAGCGGTAGTGTCCCTCTCCTCCTGGGACCCGAGTTCTGAGATCCTGTCCGCTCAAAATGCCTGTCTGTGACTCCAAGGTGCTGGCAGAGACCCAAGATTTCAGTCTCACCGGTGATGGGTGCGTTTCTGGTTCAGCTACCGGACTTGGGAGGCTCAGCGTCCGGCTGCGTTCCCAGGGCATTGCGGTCCCGGGAGCTCACTCTTCCTGATTCTCAGTGAAAGAGCATCCCTGTCATACCGCACTGCTCAGCTCTCCTCCCGCGTTTGCAGGGGCGAAGTCCTGCGGCGCTGGTGCAGATTCTCTTTTGGTCCCTGGACAGCTCCCTCCAGTATGTATGAGGTTCATAGATGATGGGGCTTGCAAGTCCTTGAAGTCCTGAATTACTTTGCAACATTCTGCTTAACTGCATCTTCCCAGGGAGAGGGTCTAGAGCTTTCATGAAACTCTCCAGGGTGCGCGTGACCCACAAAAGTAGGGAACAATTGGCTCAGGAGAGGCAGAATGGCGGTTTGATTAAGAGTGCAGGCTCAGAGTTCAAATGTGAGCTTTGAAAATTATTAGTTGTGTAGCCTGGGGCAAGTTACTTAACCTTCCCTAAGTGTCCACAGAATAGAGATAATAATAGTACCTACACTCTGGTGTCGTTCTGAGGATTTACCAACTTAATTCATGTAAATAGCATGAAGGATGTCTGGCATGAGTTAAGAACACAAAGAATGTTTGCTGTTATGCACTCTGGGCAGGGAGATGGGAAGCTTTGGCTACCTCCTCTAAACACCAGGGGAGTTCTTCTGCTGGAACTCCCCCGCCCCCATTTGCAGTTACACCACTATCTAGAATAGGAGACCATGGGAATGGAAGCTGAGATTTTGACCTTGGGGGTTATCCTCGTATGATGACCCTGGTGTTCAGCAGGCAGCTACATCACTAGGTACAAGTCCTATTACCACTGGCCATTGATCAGTATGGAGGGGAAGGGCCAGGCCTAAGGTTAAAAAGGTATAGTTTACGTCTGGATTTCAGTTCCGTTTTGGCTAGTGGCCTTAGCTATATCACTTATGTCTTTGGGATTATGTTTTCTCATTTGTAAAACAGGTAGAGGAATGTGTGCCTATCTCACTCGGTTTTTATGAAGAGTAAATGAGGAAATGTACATAAAATACGTCTTTTCTTTTAAACCATAAATTGAAATAAAATAAAATTTCATTTATAAAGTGTTATTACCACTGGAATTACTATGCTATAGATAGTGAATAGTGATTACATGAACAAAGCCAGGTAGCCAGTGTGTTTGTGTGTATGAGATTTTCACTAGGCCTACAATTGGGGTTCTTAACCTGAGGTGAATAGATGGACTTGAGGGAATTGTGAACCCATGAAAACATTATCAAAATTTTCCCTTATGAGCATTTTTCTGGGGAGAAGTCCCATAGGTTTCATTATGTTCCCAGAGTTATCTATTCTAAAGAACTTAAGGACTAATAGCTTGGACAAAGTCTTATCATAACTTTCTCCTGGGCTTCCTCATCATCCATGACTGTTGTGGATAAGAAGGTTCCAGAAGCTAATGGTTGCTTTGTCCCAAGCCTCACATTCCTGGGAAGGGTAAGGGTATGGTTCTGAGCTCTGAGGATTCAGAAACACAATTTCATCTGTTTGTTTAAGGGCTAGGAAGAGCACATACAATAGAGGATCCAAAATGATCTGGAGTCAATGACAGAAGACTTCCCTGAGAAATGATATTTAAGCTGAGATCTGAAGAAAGAGTGGGCATCAGTCAGGGGAAGGGAGTGGTGGTGTGACTCTAGGAAAAGTGATCAGCATGTACAAAAATGTTATGATATCAAGGAGCTGAAAAAAGACCAACCTGACTGGAGTCCAGGGAGGGAGGGGTGAGGGATTGTGGGAGAAGAGTCTAGAGGTTGGTAAGGACCGGATCATGTGGGCTGTGTGAAGGGTTTTGGATTCTATTCTAAAAGCCATGAGGAGTCACTGAAGAACTTTAAGTAGGGGAGTTTGGGATTTAAAGATACTATTCTTGTTGCTGTGTGGGCTAAGAGCCAAGAATAAATTTGCTCATTTTTTTCTTATTGATTTATACATCTCTTTATATATTAAGGACATCAATCCTTTATGTCATAAATATTTCATTATGTTCTGTAGATTTTTTTCAATTATTAACTTTGTTTATGCTTTTGTTATACTATATTAAAGTTTTTAATTTTTAAGTTTGGACTGATCATGAGTAGGCATTGGCCAGGCAGAGGATATCAGAAGGCTTAATGTTGAGCAAACAAAGAAAGCAAAGGAAAATAGTCACTATATTTTATATCTGAAATTAATATAATACTGTATGTTAACTATACTACTTAAAATAAAAAAAAACTTTAAAAAAGTAAAGGAGATTAGATATTCTTTAAAGAACATGTCCATTAAGATGTAATAGAATAAAAGATAAATTTTCTTCATTCTGGGGCTATTTATGTTCCAATAACTAATATTAATTTAAAATGACATCTTTTGTGTGATCTCTACTCTTTTAAATTTGCTAAGGTGTGTTTTGTGATCTATCTTGGTGAATGTTCCAGGTGAGCTTTGGAAGGATGTGTATTTTGTTATTGGATGGAGTATTCTGCAATTACCAATCAGATCAAGTTGATTGATAGTGCTCTTCATGGCAACTATATCTTTATGGATTTTCTGCATGCTAGATGTATCAGTTACTGACAGAGGGTTTTGCAGTCTCCAGCTATAACTGTGGATTCATCTTTTTCTCCTTTTTACTTTGTGTATTTTGACATTGTTTTTAGATGCATACACGTTTCTTGGAGAACTGACTCCTTGATCATAATACAGTGCCCCCTTTATTGGTGATAATTTTCTTTGTTCTCAAGTCTTCTTTGTTTGAAATTAATATAGCTACTCCAACTGTCTTTTTTTTTTTAAGATTTCATTTATTTATTTGACAGACAGAGATCACAAGGAGGCAGAGAGACAGGCAGAGAGAGGAGAGGAAGCAGGCTCCCCGCTGAGCAGAGAGCCCGACGCGGGGCTCTATCTCAGGACCCTGAGAACAGGTTCAACCCACTGAGCCACCCAGGCGCCCCCTTACTATCATTTATTAGCACCCATCCTTCCTTTCACTTCTTTCCCGCTGTATCTCTCAAACTTTGTCAGATATGTGTTTTAAAAATAAACATTTTGTTTTAGAATTATTTTATGTTTCCAGAGGAGTTGCATAAATAGTATAAAGAATTCTTGTATACCCCACACCTCCTTTCCCCTCCAGTAAAAACCTCCAGTTTTTACATTTGTCACAACTATGAACCAATATTGATACCTTATGATCAACTGAAATCCATACTTTATTTGTATTTCCCTAGATTTTACCTAATATCTCTATTCTGTTTCAGGACCCAATCCAGGATCTCACATTACATTTAAGTGTTATGTTTCCTTAAGCAACTTAAGGCTATGACAATGTCTCAGACTTTCTTTGTTTTTGATTGTCTTGGTGGTTTTAAGGAGTACTGGTGAGGTATTTTGTTTGGATTTGTCCAATTTTTTTCTCATGGTTAGACTGAGGTTATGTATTTTTTGAGAGGAGACCATGGAGGTAAAGTTTCATTATCAATACATCATATCAAGAGGATGTGTTATAAGTTTGACTTATCACTGATGTTGTTAACCTGGATCACCTCACTGAAGTAGTGTTTATTGGATTTATCTACTGACATTTTCCCCCTCTTTGAATCCTTTAATTGTTTTGCTTTATTTTTTTAAGATTTTAATTTATTTTTAATTTTTTAAAAAAGATTTTATTTATGTATTTGACAGACAGAGATCACAAGTAGGCAGAGAGGCAGGCAAAGAGAGAAGGAGGGGAAGAAGTCTCCCCGCTGAGCAGAGAGCCTGATGTGGGCCTCGATCCCAGGACCCCGAGATCATGACCTGAGCCGAAGGCAGAAGCTTAACCCACTGAGCCACCCAGGCTCCCTGTATCTTCTGTTATTTTTATAGATTTATTCTAAAATGTGGATGCTTTCCCAAACCTCCAGTATTTAAACTGCTATCCTTAGACAAACACAGTTTTACTTGCAGGGCCAAATAGCATGTTATGATTGTTTGTGTTTCATTTTCAAAGGCTTATATCACCAACCTAAAAAATATCCTTTTTTTAAAAAATTTTATTTATTTATTTGACAGAGATCACAAGTAGGCAGAGAGAGAGAGAGAGAGAGAGAGAGTGGAGGAAGCAGGTTCTCCGCTGAGCAGAGAGACCAACGTGGAACTCGATCTCAGGACCCTGAGATCATGACCTGAGCTGAAAGCAGAGGCTTAACCACTGAGCCACCCAGGTGCCCCTAAAAATATTCTTTTTAAAAATAAAAGCCCATTGCTAAAATCATACACTGTTTTAATCTGTACATTGCCATTTTATATATTTGTTGTTTTCTCTGAAGTTTCTGATTGCCTTTCTATTTGTTGGGAGAGGAAATGCATACCTTCTTCATTGTATCTTTTATATCTTCCATCTCCTCACATTCCTTTTCCCTTGATAACCATTTAATTCTTTTCTCAAATCTCAGTCACTTCCTGTTCTGACACAAACTGTTTTTTTAAGATTTTGTTTTTAAATAATCTTTAGATTATTTAGGTTATTAAAGATATTTAGATTTTTAGATCTAAATTTAGATTATTTAGATTATTAAAGATAAGTATCTTTACACCCAACGTGGAGCTCAAACTTACAACCCTGAAATAAAGAGTCGCATGCTCTGCTGACTGAGCCAGCCAGGCATCCCTGAACTGGTTTTTTTTTTTTTGTTTGTTTGTTTGTTTTGTTTTCTTTTCTATTTAGATAATGACTTTCTTATATTTCCTTCCCCACTGAATTTCTAATTGCTTTTAAAGATTGAATGCTGGGGCTTCATCACACGCTCAAGTCTTGTTTTCCAAGTTTTTCCCTATACAATCTCATAAACCTCTCTGCTATAGGACTTTATTTTCCTGCTTC